GCCCGGGCTGCACCCGCGACCTTGCTTGGGACCGGGCCCCCGCCCCAACATGGCTCCGGGTAGCTGTTTACTCAGCCACTGCGTGGGCACCGGGGCGCGGGGCCCGGGAGCGGGCAAAGATCTGCGAGCGTACAGGTCAGCCAGGGCGGGTGGCCTCTCGGCGTGGCTCACCCACGCCCCTACGCGCGCGGCAGCCCTGGAGAACGGCGCGGGCAGAACCTGCCCCGTGCGCCCCGTCCGGCAGCTGGGAACCCGGAGCCGCCGCCGCCGTGTCCCCAGGCCCTGCGCCGAGGCCGGGCTCCGGCGGCTGGAGGGCAGCGCGGCAGGTCGCCCGAGTGCGGTGGTGTGCTGGGAGGGCGGCGCGAGGGGTCAGGACCACAAAGCCCAGGGGGCGGGGGCCTCGCCTGCCCCGAATCGCGGCCCTAATGAAATGCCTGCTCGGTTCGCCACGCAGACGAGGCGCACACTTGAAAAATGCAAACGCCATTGGCAAATCCAGGGCAAACAGGCAGAATTTTTATTAGCAACTAAATGATTTATGGCACACGTACCCCGCCGTCACAATTATGGCGTCTTGGAGCATCCAGGGGTGAAAACATTAAACATTTATAAAAATAGGCCTTTGTTTTTTTCCATCCCGCAAGCCTTTTGTATTCCCCACCCCAACTCTCTCAAGATACATTTTTTTTTTCTTGAGCTATATTAAAATAAAAACATTCCAGATCCCAGGCGGGATAACGGGGTGGGGGATTAGGGTCTGGGCTCCAAATATTGGAGGCAGTGGGGGTGGGGAGGAAGCGGTGGGGACTGGGGCGTGGGAGGGCTTACTGGGAACGCGCAAGGCCTCTGGACAAGACGAGCGCGCTCGGCGCCCCCACACTCGGCCCCTTCCTCTGCTTTGGCTTCCAGAAGCCCAGCGCAGCTACACTGCATTTATTTTATTCCTACAGTCACCCCCCTCCCCTAAGGCACACAGACACAATACCTCCTTTCTCTAACCCCCCTCCTCTCCGTCTTTGCTCCTGGCCGTCCCTGGGCTTCACCGGGCGCCTCCCGCCGCCCCGACTGCCGAGGCCGCCACTGAGACCAGCGCGCCCAGCTCCAAGCGCGGACACCGCCGCTCGTTCCCCTCGGCTCCAGCTATTTTCGTTCCTTTCTTTTCTTCACACTCCTCCCTCCTCCCCCCTCGGAGCTCCAGCTTCCAAAAGAGGGCAGCCTAGAAACCAGCGCAAGAGGCTCCAGGAAGGGCAACTTGAAACTGCCCTCAAGAGGCTGAACTTTTTCCTAAAATTTATCCTGGAATTAAATTAGACACCCCCAGTTTGCTCTCGTAGCCTACCCCCCTTTTTTTCTAAAAGTGGAGAAAAGAAAATAGAAAGAATGGGCACTGACTAGCTCATTCCTTAACCCCCTCCAGAAAAGTTGCCTGCCTTAAAAAATGGATTGAAAAAAAGGACGAGCAATGCAAAACGCTGAGTCCGCAGCGCGGGGCGAAAGAGCGGGCTTCTCTTGTTTTAATTAAAATCCTATCACCGCGGTTGCTCTCCGAGGCAGGATCGGCCAGGATTCCTGCCCCTCCAAGCTTCCTTTCGAGGGTATGTAATGCCTAGCCAGGCTCGGGAGCCTGCGGGGCTGCGGAGAGAGGGTGCGGGGCCCCCAGGACAATCCTTCCTGCGTGGTCCGCACTCCCTGCGCCCCTAGTCAGGTAGGTCTGCCGTGGGCAGCTCCCGGCTACTCAACCCAGAAAAGATTTTGCTGAAAGCGCAAAATAAAAGTACAAAGTCTGGGGGATTGGGGCTCCCCTCCCCCTACGGCCGCCGTGGCCAGCGAAGCACTTTTTGGGTTTGGCTGCTGCTTCCTCTGAGCTCAACAGATTTTTTTTCCCGGTCTCGCCCTCCCTGGAGGGGGCGCGGCGGATGGAAGGCGAGAGAGGCCCCCAGCCAAGAGGTTTTTAATATTACACTTTAATAGGTTTCAGAAGGCCCCGTGGAGAAATGCTAATAGGCTGAAATGTCAGAATCGAGAGGGATTCAGTTTGCGCTCAGCCGATCTAATCCTTTTTTCTGCTCTGATTTTTTTTGGGGGGGGGGAGAGAAAGAGAAGGGAGGGCCCACGCAAAGAGGAGCCTTTGGGGAGGGGCGCGCTGTTCCAAGAGCCGCAGCCCCGGGTTGGGCCGAGCGGGGGGCGCGCCCCGGTCCGCGTTTCTATAGGAACCCCTTTTAGAAGATTAGAGACTCACCCGCTGCCCGCCGCCGCGGCCTCTCCAAAATATTAATCAGTAACCATCTGACACCGCGTTACAGGGAGGGACCCGCAGGCCACGGCTAGGAAAACGGCCTTCTCGCCAGCCCATCCCACCCAACCGCGCTGCTGGGGGAGAGGGAATGAATTGCTGCTTTGTTTTAAAAGGAAGAAAAAAAAAAAGGAAAAAGCAGCCCTTGTCTGTTTTGGCGTCTCCACCGCGCGTACCCGAGGCGCACCCCAGGAGAGGTGGGGGGCCGGGGCCCGGGCGCGGGGTGCAGCAGGCTGGGCCCCAGGCCCTCCCCGGCTCGCTCGGCTTGTCACCTCCTCCTGCAAGCAGGAAGCTGACAGGCGGCCCATTAAACCGCGCCTTGCAAAGCCCTGGATTGCGGCGACAACCATCTTCCTCTATTTTGATCACTCAGCCCAGACGCTGGGGGAGGGGGGAGGAAAAGGGAGGAGAAGGAGAAAGAGGGGAGTCTGAGCTGGTGGAGGGGGAGGGCTGCCTAGAAACGGCCCGGAAAAATTCTCACCACCAGTTTTGATCATTCAGCCCCGCCGAGGGGAGCCTGGAAACTGCTGGAGCCTCTAGGTCCGTAATTGGTTTTATAGGAATGGCTGAGGGCCAAGGTGTTTACATGCGCGTGATTGGCGGCGCGCGCGGCCAATGGGGGGCGGCCGGGGGCCGGCCGGGGAGGGGGCGGGCGCCGGGAACAATGCGTGTTTCTTTGCAAGAGTGCTCCCCTCCCCCACTCCCCCCCCCCCGCTGGTTTTTTTTTTTTTTTTTTTTTAGATCCAGCGAGAGGAACTTGAAAGGGGGGTTGTGTAATGTACCTTTTCCAATCCCGGGCTGTATATGGAGATTTGGGATTCTTTAAACCAGCGCTACCTGGATTTTATTAAAAAGCGGGGAGCTCGGCGGGAGGAAAGCTGGCTTTTCCGGGGGCTGCGGGAGCCGGGCCGCGGGAGGGCGGAGGAGTTGGCGCGCCGAGCGCTCGGCCCGGGGAGCGGTTTTCTACCAAAAAAAGGAAAGGCGGGCAAAAAGTGTGAGGAGGCTGCGGGTGGCGGAGGGGAGCGGCAGCCGCGGGATGGCGGGCAGCACGGGCGCCTAGCCGCGCCGGGAGCCGGGGCTGCCACCGGAGTCGCTGTCGCCGGAGCCCGGAGCCGGGAGCCCAGCCGCGCCAGGTACGCCGCCGGTCCGCCTGCCGGCCCCCGCCGGGCGCGATGGTCTCCAAACTTCTCCAGCTCGCCCCCCACCACTGCCCACCCCGCCTGCCCCTCGGGGTGCGCTGGGGGATCCCCGCAGCTGTCCGACTCCGGAGAACTGAATCTGGGACCAGGGCCGGCGGGGAGGGGGCTCCCAAGGAGGGGTGGGGGCAGGCTGCTGCGCCTTGGGCGCCCACCCGAGCCCCCAGCCCCGCTCCAGCCCGCCCGGCCCTGCCCGGCCGAGGGGCGTCGGTTCCTCTCTCGGTTCCCAGCAGGCGGCGGGGGAGCCGAGGACGCCGAGACGTTTTCGATTATAGGCTGTTTTTAATTAAAAGCCGGAATTCAGCCATTTTAACTGCATTTAAGAGGGGGAGAAAAGTAGAGAGAACGCAGCGGACCCTCAGATGGCCGAGCCAGCTTCTTTGCCAGAACGAGGGTGTTCCGGGGGGCTTCACCCCGACTTCTCCAAACTGGAGCGCCTGGGCGTGCTACGAGGCGCTGGCTTTTAAAAGAAAGCTACTCAAAGAACATATTTTTTAAAAATCACGGGAAGCTCATCGCCTTCTTAGGACATGTATCCTCGGATGTGGCTATCTTAGATTTTTCCAAAGTAAATGCGGATCTGGTAACCAGAGCCTGATGGGGAAGAGCAAGGGAGGGAAAGAGGGAGTGTTTGTAACCAAAACCAGGTTAAAATAGGCACCCTTAGCAAAGTTGAGGAGGGAGGCTGGAGGAGGAGGCAGGCGGGTTTGGCCGGGGGCTTTGTAGCTGAGGGGGTCTGCTGCTCGGGGGGCTGGGCGCGAAGTGCAGGGCTCAGGGCGGGCACCCAGGAGCCGGTGGCTTTGGCATGATCGGCGGCTCTAAGAGTGTCCAGGCCTCCTGGAATCAGGAATCTGAGCTGTTGCGGACTGACGGAGAGCGAGGGAAGGGTGGGCTGCAAGACCTCCTCCCTCCCCCACGGGAATCGGCAAACGACAAATCTTTTAAATAAACAGCTTTAAACTGGAACTACAGGGGGATTTACCCAACGGTGGGGGATGCGCCCCTCAGCGGACCCGCTCGGCGAAGGTTTTCTTTGTAGGTTATTTTGGGGGGTGGGTAGGGGGGAAACTAGAGTAGTAGCGAGATCCTTGATCCCCTTCCTTCCCCTTTGCCATCCCCCAAATCCCCCGTGCCAGGCCGCGTCCTCGAGCCGCAGGAGTTCCAGGCTAGGGCGTTGGAAAATGAAACCAAAGCTTGTTTTGAAGGATTCTTTCCAGTCCTCAGGCGAGAATGCCACGTCTCGGGTCCTCGGACTCAGACTCTGGGACTCACAGTGGCGGCGGGGGTGGGGGGCTGGCGGGCTTCTTTAAAAATAATAAACCCGCTTTGCACTCTGCCTCCCTGGGAAAAAAAAATAAAAAGCCATTCTTTCGGCGGCTCAGGGAAACCAAACTCAGAAAAGAGAGGCGAGGTCCCAGAAAGGTTAAATATTAAACTTTCCGGATCAGATAGTGACATAGTGTTTAGGGAGACATTTCAAACTGCTCGTGGAAGGGTTTCACAGTTTTAAATCCCGGAGTATGTGACGCCCAGGAATAAACACACTTAGGAGGTTTGTATTTACGCTGTTCGGGCACAGCCGAGGAGCCTTCCGCCGTTCGGGGAGGACCCGGCAGCCGGCGAGGCAGTGTCCGGGCTGGGGCACAGCGTGCCACCGGTCACTTTTCCTAGTCGGGTCCCTGGGAGATTGAAGCCGCTGGCGGAAGGAGCCCGGATTTTTACTATTCATAGATACGGGGCTACTCCCGATTTCATTTCTGGCCACTAGATCGACAGCCCCTGACCCCGAAGGGCGAGGCTACTTTCTGAAACTTGTGTATTTTCTTTCCTCTTTCTTTCTCCCCTTGCCTTTCTTCCGCGGCCCGTCTCCTCTCCCCGCCAAGACGCCGTGTGCGCCGCCTCGAGCAGCTCCGACTGGCCACCCGGAGGGGCCCAACCGCCGGCCGCCTGTGCGCCCCGGGCCGCGGGCCCGCCGCTCAGCGCAAACCCCGCTGGCCGCCGCCATGCACGCCGCGGAGCCCCCACCACCCGAGGACTCTGGGACTACGCCGAGGCCGAACTTTTAGGTCCCACTGAGCGAGGCCCGCGGGCCGGGTGGGGGGCTGGCCGCGGCACTCCCGCAGAGGATGGATGGCCGAGACTTCGGGCCCCAGCGGTCTGTGCACGGCCCCCCGCCGCCGCTACTGTCTGGCTTGGCCATGGACAGCCACCGCGTGGGCGCGGCCACTGCCGGACGCTTGCCTGCCTCGGGCTTGCCCGGCCCGCTGCCGCCCGGGAAGTACATGGCCGGCCTCAACCTCCACCCGCACCCGGGTAAGTGCCCCGCGCCGTGCCTGTTTCCTCCTGTCTCCCGGGATTCCGGGGAGGTAGGGAGGCCCCAGAAGACCTACTTGGCCGGTTCCCCGGCACTCGCGGCCGGGACTCGGCGTCCTTCTTTCCCTCGGCCGGCCGCTGGGGTGCGGGCAGGCTCAGCTCCTAAGGCAGGGAGTCCGTGGCCCTGGGCAGAGGCCTGTCCGGAGGCCCTGGCGGAGAGGGGCGCTCGGCCCGGCTGCCTTCCCCGGCGCGCCCGTTCCTCCCGAGGCAAAAGTGTCTGCCGAAGTCAAAGCCACCGAGGGCGATTCCAATCCCCGGGCCTCTGCGGCACAAGCCTGGGCTGGAGTTTTCAAATTCTGGGCGAGAAAAGAACAAGTCAGCCCCCACACCCTGTGAGACACCCGTTCCTCGAGCTCGAATCTTTTACTTGGCAAACGCCCTTTCTGGCGCCCGTGGGCCCTGGGTTCTGTTCCCAGCTCCACCACCCCACTGCGCCTAGTCGGGTCCCCGGCAGTTCCTGAGCGCCAGGGGATGCGGGAGGACGGTGACCCCAAACCTGGGATCCTGGCCTCCGGCAGAAAGGCAGCGGCCCTCGCGAGCCCCTTTTACCCCGGGAAAACGGTGGCCCAGGGAACCTGCACCCCGGTAGGAAGGTAGCGACCCCGCCCCGGGAACCTCTTGTTCCCTGACTGGAAACAGGGTGCAAGGCGAGGCGGGGACGCCGAAACCCGGCCACTGCCATCGTGAACTTACAGGGAAAGAAGCGGCGCAGGGAGCGGATCGGGCCGGACACGGGCGGCGGAGGGGACACCCTGGGTCTGACATCGAACCGCAGGAGGTGGCCGAGAAGGCTCCGCGGCCACCGCCATTTCCCGAGAGGGGCTGCCCAGGTGCGGCGGGGTGGCCTCCGGGTGGGGTGGCGCGGGGAGGGAAACGCTTGACCCGGCCGAGCCCCGGCCGCGGCAGCCAGGCAGGGAGCGAAGAGAGACGAGAGACGGAGGAGGCTCCAGACGTGCCGGCGGCTGCCCCAGGAGGCCAGGTCCCTCCTCCCCCGGGTGTGCTTAGCTTCTGCGCCTGGCCTCTCGAGCTCTGACTTTTAGAAAAATCCACATCCACTTCTTCTCCCAAGTGTATTTTAGGACTTTTGCAATTTCCTGGGGAGCCCCGGTGGTGCCCTCTTACATGGGGTCTTGGAGGAGACACCCCTGGACTGGAGCGGCTGCCTCAGTCTCACCCCGCCTGCTGGGTCAAGCTTGCCGATTTTGCCTCTCTCTTTGATTTTTCTCCTGGAACTTTTCAGGAACTGGCGTCCCGGGGGCTCAGCGGGACAAAGGACCTTTGTGAGGCGCTGGGCGGGGGAGGGGCATGAGAACCTTCAGCCCTGGGGCACGCGTGTGCCCCTCAGGAGCTGGAGGGGGGCTTTCTGCCTGGGACCACAAGGAGGGCATGGATTTTCTACCGAGTGGCGTGCTGGGGCGTAGGGAGAGGTGCTAGAGACCCCAGAGGAAGAACTTAGGGCGGTGGTGGGGTACAAAGGCTGTCTGAGTCAATCCCTTTTGCATGCCTCGAGAGTCCACAGCGGTGTTTTATGTGTGTGTGTCTTGAGCTCTTCGGGTTATTTGGTTTGATCTGGCCCAGGGAAGGGGCGAGGAGGGGTGCTGCAGGCTGGGGATTGGGCCTCTGGTCTGCCTGGCTGGCAGGGCCTTCGCTTGCTTTCTGTGAGTCTGGGAGGGGGCGTCGTCGTCACATACTCCCCGCCTGGGATCTCGCTCGGGCTGGCAGAGGCAAAGTGTCCTAATGAGAAGCCGTAAAAACAGCCACTTTCTCGGAGCGCCTCTGCGGGTGCTCCGAACCAGCGCCCCGCCTAACCTGCCCAGTAGTCAGCCGCTTGATGCCCATTTGGTGGATGGGGAGGCTGAGGCACGAGGCGGCCAAGCAACCGATCGACGGAGGAAGCCTAGCAGGTGGTGGCCAGGCGCCCAGTCTCCTGCTCTCCCGCGCTCTGTGAGCTGCCCGAATTCTGCATGGTGAGGCTGTGGTGCCTCAGGAAATAGCGGGAAGGCCCCTGCTGCTCTCTGAGCCCGTGCCTCTTGCTGCCCCCCACCCGTACCTCCAGTGGCCCTGTGCAGACCTCGGACCCCAGGCCAACGCCCAGAGCTGAGCCCGTGCTAATCCCATTAGCCCGGAGGTGGGGAGCAGCTCCCATTCACTGCTTGGGGCTGGGCCGGATTAGAAATTCCTCAACCTGGCACCCCTCCCCGTTTTCTTTGTGGGGTGTAGGTGCTAAATTTTCTCTTCAGACACCACCCTCTCTTCCTTGGCTGTCAGCTCTTTAGGTCTTGCCAGCCTTATCAGCCCCATCTTTACTTGTTTGTTTTTACGTGGGGAAGTCTTAGGCTTGAGGGATTTGCCTGGGGTCACACAGTGAGAGAATGAGAGACACGTTGTCTTTGGGCCCCTTCCCACCCTGAGCTTGGTGGTCGTGAGACCGTCTCTGTGTAGTCCTCCTGGAGTGCCTCCTGCCCTGGGAGAGCTTAGAGCTGGAGGGGCCCTGGGGGAGAGACCCCATCCAAGCAGGTATTGACAGGGTCTGCTGGGAGAGAGGAGAGGCTTTCTGCATGGGGGGGTGGGTCACAGCAGTGGGCTTCAGCCCCTTCTTCTGCAGAAGAGGAGGTAAAATCGAGAATGAATGGGGTTTGGGATCAAAGAAAGGGTGGTTTTTACCTTTCCTGTAACCTTGAGTATTGGTATAGTATGAACAACAAATAGTCACAGTCTGATGGGTGAAATGGACAAGTAAGTGACAAGCACCTGAGGCTTGGCGCTCAGCTCTGGGGCTGGGAGGCCTGGACCGAGTCCTCCTCATATGGTGCAATTAAAGAGCTATTAGCAGGATTTTGTACTTGGGTATTTACTCTCCCTGCTCCCACCCTCTGGCCTGGCCTGGGGAGGATTCGTGAATGGGTGGGTGGGACCCAAGGATGGGGCGGGGAGGCCCTGCACTTTGGCCTGGCCAGTAGACAATAGGGGGCCATGGGCCTTCTCCAGGGTTAGATCAGCTCCCCCATCTCTGGAATCCAGCCTGTCAGCCCGCCAGGATTGATTTAGAGAGATGAATCAGTGAGGGCTGGCTGAGTGATAGAAAGATAAGGGAGATTTGCAGGGTACTCCTTCTCTGGCGGGGAAGAGGGAGGCCTGGCGAGGGTTCCGGAATCTGGGAGGGCCGCTTGGGCCCCCTGGCTCTCCGGGTTCTTCAGCTCCCAACCCCAGTGCTTTCTCCTTTCCTCACTTATTCATTTACTCAGCAAATCATTTCCAAGTGCTTCCCGCGTGCCAGGCACTGCTCTGATCCTAGGAATTCGGCGGTGAACCCAACAGTCAGAAATCTTTGCCCTCGTTGGAGCTCATCATACTCTACGGAAGAGCCAGAGAGTGAACACAGAAGTCGTGCAGGAAATGGATTTTGAATAGGGGTAGAGGCTGTGGTCTGGTGTGGTCTGGTCCGGGTGGTGAGGGGCTGTGTCCGTGGAGCCAACTCTAGTGATCTGTGATCTGAAGGAGTGATTGTGTGTGTGTGTGTGTGTGTGTGTGTGTGTGTGTGCGCGCGCGCGCATGCGCGTGTGTGAGTGAGAGAGAGTGTGAGAAGGGCAGAAAAGTGCAATGAAGGGAAAGGAGATGGAACACAGAAGCCTGACGCGTCTGAGCAGTCCGAATGGCTGGAGCCAGTTAGGGTTGGGGCAGGGTGGGGAGGGGGGATCCCGCAGGCCCCCAAAGGCCAGTCATGAGGTCTTGGAATTTTAAACTATGAGGAATGAGGATGCAGCGGAGGGTTTAAAATGGAGGGAATGACTCAAATTGAGGGATGTTTTACAGAACTGGTCTGGACTCTTAAAAAATGTCAATGGCATGCAAAACAAAGGAAGGCTGAGAACTGTTCCTGATTAAAAGAGACTAAAAAAAAAAAAAAAGCGACAGCTAAAGGCAATGTGTGGCTTTCGACTAGATCTTGGATCAGGGAAGAAATTGCTCCAAAGAACATCATCTGGGCAATTGACAAAACTGGAATATGGACTGTAGATTAGCTGATAGTATCAAATCAATGTTAGGTTTCATGAAGTTGATAACTGTGCTGTGGTTATGTAAGAGAATGTCCTTGTCCTTAGGAAATAAGAATACCGAAACATTTGGGGGCAAGGGGCTCGGTGTCTATACTTACTCTCTGAATGGTTCAGGAAGAGAAAAAAATACCTGTAATTTTTATATACATGTGGGAGACAGTGATACATCAGATAACATCAAATAACACACAGAGGGAGAGGGCAGTTCACAGTCCTGGTGAAGGTCTTTCATATGGCAATTCATTGTGCTAGTTCAAACTTTTCTCTGAATTTGAAATGATTTCAAAATAAGCATTTAAAAAAATTAGGCTGGGTTGCTGGCCAGAGACCATCCAATAGATGGAGGAGAGAAGCAGGTGACCAGTCAGTCCCAGGAGGTGTCTGGGAGGTGGTGGGGAGCAGGGAGGGGGCTGAGGTGGCAGGGGCAGAGAGGCTTGTGGAGGTGGGGCTGCCACGATGGAGGAGGGTAGGGAGGAGATCTCTGAGATTGTCAGTAAGAGCTGCTTGTGGAGGGGGCAGGGGTTGGGCATCTTGTTTGGAATGTGGCCAGTGCGGGGTGCTCTTGGCTTCCCAGCGTGGACCAGTCTTTAGTCTGAGCTGACTTTACTGTGGCCCTGTCTTCCACCCAGACTCCAGCCCAGCTTCTGCGGGGACCAGCTGGAGCTGTTCTCAGGATAGATCTTGGGCCTCCCCAGGGCCTGCTGGGAGCCGTGGCCAGTGGTCATTCCCGGCCAGGGTCCTCAACACACCTGCTGCGGGCAGAGGCCTGGCATCTGACTAAGAGGGCAGTCAAGGACATTAGGTGAGAGCCACTGAAGCTCCTTGCTCCCCCTTCCTGAACCACGAATGCACCCACCATTACGCGTGAAAGCGATGGACCCC